CTCAATGGGATTCCATTCCCGGAAATATTGGGGTTCCATCATTTCCGCTCTTGGGGGGGGGGGGGGGGTGGGGTTGTAGGGTGGGGGGTTCTTCTTGGGGTTTGTTGGCCGGGGTGTTTGCACTTTGTTTGGGTGGGGTGACCGTTAGGGTACAGCCTGATGTCTTGTCCACTTTCACAGAAGGGTGTTGGGTGTTATGGGGTAGGGGTAGGTGGGGGGGTTGGGGGGGGGGGGTGGGTTGGGGGGGGTGGTTGTGGGGGGGGGGGGGGGGGGGGGTGGGTTGGGTTGGTTGGTTGGGGGGGGGGGGGGTGGGGTGGTGGTGGGGGGGGGGGGGGGGGGGGGAACTGTCCTCCCGATTGGGTGGGGAAGGGGGGGGTTTGGGGGGGGTTGGGATTGTGGTTTTGGGTGGGGTTTGGGTTATTGTTTGGGATTGTTTTGGGGGACCGTTGGGTCGTTTTGTGCTGGGGGTGGGGGGGGTGGGGAGGTTAGTGGGTTGGGAACTGGGGGGGGGGGAAGGGCGGGGTGGCAATAGGATTTGTTTGGGGGTAAAATCCGGGGGGACTTCCCAGGCAAAACCTTTTTTGGGTTCCCGAGGGGTGCTGCCGTCAGGCTGTCTGCAAAAGAGCGGCAAAGTGGGTTAGGAAAATGTTCTCATTTCTCCCCAATTTTTTTTGGGTGGGGGGTGGGTATGTTGGTTATGGTGGTGAGGGAGGGGGTTGGAGTCCTCAATGGGGGGGGGGGGGAATTATTAACTCCATCATTTTGGGGGGTTGGTGGGCCAACTTTGGGGTTCTTCGTAGGGGGGGGGGGTTCCACTTTGGTGTTGGGTTGGGGTGTTTTGGGGGGGGGGGGTGGTGACCGTAGGGTGGGGATGTCTTGGGTCACATTCACAGGGAGTTGACGAAAGTTGGGGGTAGCAGATTAGGTGGGGTTGGGTTTTGGGGGTTAGGTTGTGGGTAGGTTGGGTTGTGGGTTGTGGGGGTTGGGGGGTGGGGGGTTGGTTGGGTTTTGGGGTTGGGTTGGGTTGGGTTGGGTTGGGTTGGTGGTTAGGTTGGTTGGGTTGGGTTAGGTTGGTTGGGTTAGGGTTGGGTTGGTTGGGTTTTGGGGGGGGAGGGGAGCGAATGTCCTGTGATTACCCGTGGGGTGCAGAACTTGGTCCAGGCCAAAGAAGATTTTGATCTTCCCATCGAGCGCCATATTTCTTGCCCATTGTCTTTGCACAAAACCTGGTGGCGCCTCAAGCCTGCGAACCATTGGCATGGAAATAGGATTTGTTACTTAAAACCCAGCGGACTCCTCCCAGGACAAACCTCGGCTTTTCACTCCCGAGCTGCCGCCGTCGCTCCTTTCCCAGTTTTAGTTCTTTGGCTTTCCAAGAGCCTAAGTAGGAATGTTCGGCTCCGAGAATTATTGGGTTTGCAAAAGCTGCTATTTATGGGGAACAAAAGGCTGAATCGGCCAGAAGGCAAGGCTGGCTAATGTGCGCCAAATGTCTGCAAAGGAGCGCCAAAGTGGCAGTATGTGGATGGGAAAAAGGTCTCATTTCCCCCTCCCCCAGTGTTTTTTTTTCCCCCCCTCCCATCTCTATATAATTAGCTGTTCTGTGGACCAGCAGATGAGACCTGGGCAGGGTTGCTTCGGATCTCAGTGCAGCAGAGGCTGTGTTGTCGGATTGATGTCGAACTTCACTCTCTCAATCATCATCGACTATTATTATTCCCCTTGCTCAGGGGCGGACTGACCATTTGGAAAACTTGGGCATGCCCGAGGGCTCGGGGGTCAGTAGGGGGCCCCATGAGATGCCCCTGATACCTTTTTCATAGGCTTTTTTGAGTTTGGGGGAGGACACAGGGGCCCCATGATCCCCTATTGCCCGGGGGCCCCATGAGTTGTCAGTCCGCCCCTGCCCTTGCTGCTAGTATTAGTATATAGATATTGGAAGGGATATTATATTTACTTGTTTTACACTTTTTATACATTTCTCCAGTTACTTCCTGGTTTTGGCCTAGGGAAAATGATGTCATACATCCCAGCAGTCTTAATGGGGAGAGAGGCTTTCTCAGCTAAGCACACCTCCTGCCTGCCTGAACTAAAGGGCAGATGGATTCCAGGAAGTCAATGCTACACGAATCATCTGCCTTTACTCAAGATGGCCGTAGTTAAAAAGGGGCTAGGGGGGTGTTTTAAAAAAATTATTTCTCAGGAAAATAAAGCATGTAGGCATGGCTGGATGGAGACATGGATGGATGGATGGAGAGATGGATGGACGGGAGATATGGATGGATAGATGGAGACGTGGATGGATGGATGGATGGATTTGGATGGATGGATGGGAATATGGAGATATGGATGGATGGATGGATGGAGACATGGATGGATGGATGGAGACATAGATGGATGGAGACATGGATGGATAGATGGAGATATGGATGGATGGATGAATGGAGATATGGATGGATGAATGGAGATATGGATGGATGGATGGATGGAGATATGGATGGATGGATGGATGGAGACATGGATGGATGGAGACATGGATGGATGGATGGATGGAGACATAGATGGATGGAGACATGGATGGATGGAGACATGGATGGATAGATGGAGACATGGATGGATGGAGATATGGATGGATAGATGGAGACATGGATGGATGGATGGAAATATGGATGGATAGAATGGAGACATGGATGGATGGATGGAGATATGGATGGATGGATGAATGGAGATATGGATGGATGGATGGAGACATGGATGGATAGATGGAGATATGGATGGATGGATGGAGACATGGATGGATGGAGATATTGGATGGATAGATGGAGACATGGATGGATGGATGGAGGTAGTTTGCTTTGAACATTAAAATGAATTACATTTTGTACATGAATTGTGGCGGCTGCATTAGTTTTCTTTTTTTTTTTTTTTCATTTTTTTCCCTCTGTTTTCACCTGGTGATCTGGCCAGTAACATCCCTCCTGTATTAGAGTGCCCCCCCCCCCACTCTGGATGAAGAAGCACTGGGGGCACCTTTGGAAAGCAACATTGTCACTCTAGGGGGAGGGGAGCATTAGATGGACTAGCAGATTTAGATACACTAACAAATTGAAGCCAAACTTCAACTCACACTTTATAACCCGTTACAATGACAGTTTTGTTCCTTTTGGGATAAAGGATTTACATGAGTAAATAAAAGCTGATCACTGTAAGCACGCCTGTCAGTCATTAATGGTTTGTCTCATCCCTCTAACTGCTACATCTGCAGGAGAGCTTGTTCTGTTGAAAAACAACAGACTTGCGAGCAGGATCACCATTTGAGGATAGAAGAAAGAAAGTCTAAAAAAGAAAACGAATGCAGCCGTCACATCTAAGAATCGGTAATCTGCAATAGTATAAATGTTTGCTTTAAAGCCGGGTCTCCAAACTTTCTAAGCAAAGAGGGCTAATTTACCGCCCTTCAAACTTTAGGGGGGCAGACTGTGGCCAGTGGGAGTAGAACATTTCCTGGTGTCAGTGGGAGGAATAGTGTCCCATCATTGGTGTCAGTGGGAGGAATAGTGTCCCATCATTGGTATCAGAGGGAGGAATAGTGCCCCATCATTGGTGTCAGTGGGAGGAATAGTGCTCCATCATTGGTGTCAGTGGGAGGAAATAGTGTCCCATCATTGGTGTCAGTGGGAGGAATAGTGCCCCGTCATTGGTGTCCAGTGGGAGGAATAGTGCCCCATCATTGGTATCAGTGGGAGGAATAGTGCCCCGTCATTGGTGTCAGCGGGAGGAATAGTGTCCCATCATTGGTGTCAGCGGGAGGAATAGTGCCCCATCATTGGTATCAGTGGGAGGAATAGTGCCCCGTCATTGGTGTCAGCGGGAGGGAATAGTGTCCCATCATTGGTGTCAGCGGGAGGAATAGTGCCCCATCATTGATGTCAGCGGGAGGAATAGTACCCCATCATTGGTATCAGTGGGAGGAATAGTGCCCCATCATTGATGTCAGCGGGAGGAATAGTGCCCCATCATTGGTGTCAGTGGGGGGGGAATAGTGCCCCATCATTGGTGTCAGCGGGAGGAATAGTGCCCCATCATTGGTGTCAGTGGGAGGAATAGTGCCCCATCATTGGTGTCAGTGGGAGGAATAGTGCCCCATTCTTGGTGCCAATGGCAGGAACTTAGCCCCACTGTTGCTGACATGGGGGAACAAATGCCCCAAGCGCTGATAAAAGCAAGTAAAGGGCCACATCTGGCCCCCTGGGCCGCAGTTTGGAGATCGCTGCTTTATTCATTCATTACTATGGTTGGCTGCACACTGAAAATGGACAGAAATACGTCGCAATGTGCGCCGTACACCCGAGTGAATGAGCCCAGTGAATAGAGGTTTATGTGAATGTGTGTCTGGAGTTCAACTTGCAGATCTAGCACCCCCTCCGTGGACTAACCTTGGGGGGGGGGGGGGGGGGGTATTCAGAAATAATTAGTAACTATGTCCAGTTTTCTCTTTGTTACCATAATAGGGTTTGTCGCTCCTCGCCCTCCGTTGGGCGCCGGCCCCGCCCTGTTGTGTGGATTCGGCTCGGTTTGTTTGCGTTTGGGTGAAAAAGCCAGGCAGAGGTCGCCATCCATGTAAGTGTGGGGTCAGAGGTCACCATCCATGTGAGTACGGGGTCAGAGGTCAGCATCCATGTGAGTGCGGGGTCAGAGGTCAGCAATTAACATGGTGCCTTCCATTCTGCTGTCATTCAGTGTAATGGACACAAAGTAACGTTCTTCCTCAATGATTGCCGAGCAATCAGCGCTGATTTCAGTTGATTTCCTTTCTGTGCACTTGTCAAGAGTTTCCGGACATTTCTCTGGACATTGTGAGTGTCAACGATCCCTGATCCCGCCTACCCAAGGGGACCTGTCACAATCCACAGACATAACCAACAACCAAACAATATATTCAGCTTGACATACGTTTTAAATCTTCACTCCGGCCTCCCCTTCAGTCTTGCACAGGTGTACCGGCTCCTCCCCTTCAGTCTTGCACAGGTGTACCGGCTCCTCCCCTTCAGTCTTGCACAGGTGTACCAGATCCTCCCCTTCAGCCTTGCACAGGTGTACCAGCTCCTCCCCTTCAGTCTTGCACAGGTGTACCGGCTCCTCCCCTTCAGTCTTGCACAGGTGTACCGGCTCCTCCCCTTCAGCCTTGCACAGGTGTACCGGCTCCTCCCCTTCAGCCTTGCACAGGTGTACCAGCTCCTCCCCTTCAGTCTTGCACAGGTGTAGCGGCTCCTCCCCTTCAGTCTTGCACAGGTGTACCAGCTCCTCCCCTTCAGTCTTGCATAGGTGTACCGGCTCCTCCCCTTCAGTCTTGAACAGGTGTACCGGCTCCTCCCCTCCACTCTTGCACAGGTTACCTGGCTCCTCCCCTGAACTGAAACGGCTTCCTCTGGTGTCACTGCACACTGGGAGCTTTCACAATTTCGCATTAGAAGCTGCAGCCAGTCAGATAGAGCTCCGCCTCATATCCTGGCTGGGGGACAACCAGCATACATTGTACACCAATGTAAGGGACATTCTTCCCACTGACCCCCAATGTAAGGGACATTCTTCCCACTGACCCCCAATGTAAGGGACATTCTTCCCACTGACCCCCCAATGTAAGGGACATTCTTCCCACTGACCCCCAATGTAAGGGGTATTCTTCCCACTGATCACCAATGTAAGGAGCATTCTTTCTTCCCACTGACCCCCAATGTAAGGGACATTCTTCCCACTGACCACCAATGTAAGGGACATTCTTCCCACTGACCACCAATGTAAGGGACATTCTTCCCACTGATCACCAATGTAAGGGACATTCTTCCCACTGACCCCCAATGTAAGTGACATTCTTCCCACTGACCCCCATGTAAGGGACATTCTTCCCACTGACCCCCAATGTAAGGGACATTCTTCCCACTCACCACCAATGTAAGGGACATTCTTCCCACTCACCACCAATGTAAGGGACATTCTTCTCACTGATCACCAATGTAAGGGACATTCTTCCCACTGATCCCCAATGTAAGGGACATTCTTCCCACTGATCACCAATGTAAGGGACATTCTTCTTCCCACTGACCCCAATGTAAGGGACATTCTTCTCACTGATCACCAATGTAAGGGACATTCTTCCCACTGATCACCAATGTAAGGGACATTCTTCCCACTGACCCCAATGTAAGGGACATTCTTCCCACTGACCCCCAATGTAAGGGGCATTCTTCCCACTGATCACCAATGTAAGGGACATTCTTCCCACTGACCACCAATGTAAGGGACATTCTTCCCACTGATCACCAATGTAAGGGACATTCTTCCCACTGACCCCCAATGTAAGGGACATTCTTCCCACTGACCCCCAATGTAAGGGACATTCTTCCCACTGACCCCCAATGTAAGGGACATTCTTCCCACTGACCCCCAATGTAAGGGACATTCTTCCCACTGACCACCAATGTAAGGGACATTCTTCCCACTGATCACCAATGTAAGGGACATTCTTCCCACTGATCCCCAATGTAAGGGACATTCTTCCCACTGACCCCCAATGTAAGGGACATTCTTCTCACTGGACCCCCAATGTAAGGGACATTCTTCCCACTGACCCCCAATGTAAGGGACATTCTTCTCACTGATCACCAATGTAAGGGACATTCTTCCCACTGACCCCCAATGTAAGGGACATTCTTCCCACTGACCACCAATGTAAGGACATTCTTCCCACTGACCACCAATGTAAGGGACATTCTTCCCACTGACCCCCAATGTAAGGGACATTCTTCCCACTGACCACCAATGTAAGGGACATTCTTCCCACTGACACCAATGTAAGGGACATTCTTCCCACTGACCCCAATGTAAGGGACATTCTTCCCACTGACCCCAATGTAAGGGACATTCTTCCCACTGACCCCCAATGTAAGGGACATTCTTCCCACTGACCCCCCAATGTAAGGGACATTCTTCCTACTGACACCAATGTAAGGGACATTCTTCCCACTGACCCACCAATGTAAGGGACATTCTTCCCACTGATCACCAATGTAAGGGACATTCTTCCCACTGACCCACCAATGTAAGGGACATTCTTCCCACTGACCACCAATGTAAGGGACATTCTTCCCACTGACCCCCAATGTAAGGGACATTCTTCCCACTGACCCCCAATGTAAGGGACATTCTTCCCACTGACCACCAATGTAAGGGACATTCTTCCCACTGACCACCAATGTAAGGGACATTCTTCCCACTGACCACCAATGTAAGGGACATTCTTCCCACTGACCACCAATGTAAGGGACATTCTTCCCACTGACCCCCCAATGTAAGGGACATTCTTCCCACTGACCACCAATGTAAGGGACATTCTTCCCACTGACCACCAATGTAAGGGACTTTCTTCCCACTGACCACCAATGTAAGGGACATTCTTCCCACTGACCACCAATGTAAGGGACATTCTTCCCACTGACCACCAATGTAAGGGACATTCTTCCCACTGACCACCAATGTAAGGGACATTCTTCCCACTGACCCCCAATGTAAGGGACATTCTTCCCATGAAGATTTCCCACTGACCCCAATGTAAGGGACATGACCACCCAATGTAAGGGACATTCTTCCCACTGACCACCATGTAAGGGACATTCTTCCCACTGATCACCAATGTAAGGGACATTCTTCCCACTGACCACCAATGTAAGGGACATTCTTCCCAATTTTCTTTATTTTTCTTTAAAAAGTCTCGCAATCAATAAACATAAAATATTATACAGAATATAAAAAAAAAAAATATATATATTTACAGCAAAACGAAAATAAACATAGCAAAATCTGCTGTCAGACAAAAGCAAACGTCTCAGAAATGAACATGACATAATTGGGGAAATAAATCGTACTACCACTCACATCACTACACCAGACATCAAACCTGTGAGGTCAAGAAACCACCCCCCCCCTTATGCATGCAGCCCTTCTTCAAAAAAGATCTTAATCAACAAAAACTACGGGAGTGAAAAGAACAGTATAAGGAAAGAGCCCCTCACCCAGAGATGGACAGTTCACCAAAGGCAGGTCTGATATTCCTCCACGCCCTTATCCAGACCGCCCGAGGCTCTCTGACCCTCTCAAGACCCCGAATCTTCCCAACCTCACCCAGAATATCGTGCACCACCACCTCTACAGGGAGGACTTTCTTCCGGATGGTAATCTGACACCGTGCGTTCCATGTGAAGTAACGGACAACTATACTAACTAGAAAAAGTGTATCCAAATCAAAGTCCCAGCGAGCTGGGAATGCCCCGTACACCCACTCTGCATAACTCATGCGATAGAGAAAGGGGATGCCCAGAACCCTCCCCACCCTTTTATACACCTCTATGTTAAAGGGACACAGGAGCAGAAAGTGGTCCATAGACTCCACTTTACCAACACACTCTGCTCTAGGACAATCAATCCGATCATCCACAGGGCGGTGCTTCAGGTTCCCTCTCACATAGAGCCTTCCATGGAAAGCGAGCCAGGCTTGATCCCTAAACTTCAAAGGGATTCTCTCCAAGTTAATTAAACGCAATCCCTCCCTCATTACGGAGCCTGGGCAATCCTTTAAGGCCAGTGACACACTGAAAGCAGAAGCCAAAATCCTCTCCCCCAGAAGCTTCCTGGGAAGGGACCTGATATCCTCCACTGTCACCTGCCACTGCCGAAGTATTTTCAGACACGGGGCAACATAAGCCGGGAGCTTGCCATGTCGGACTCTCAGACTTTTCACTGGGCCGCCATCTTCCCAGCAATGCAGAAAAGGCCTAAACCAAGACTGAAAAATACCCACCCATCCCGGCGGGGTCTCTGCTAACATATTACCAAGATTGTACTTTAAAAAGAGCAAAGAAAAGAAAACTATCGGGTTGACCATTCCTAGGCCACCCTCCCGCCTGGACAGGTAAGTTACATTGCGTTTGATCAGGTTCAGCCTATTTCCCCATAACAGTTGGAAAAAACAGCTGTAGACCCGTGCATAGAGAGATACCGGCAAGATACAGACGAAGCTGACATATAAAAAGATCGGGATCAGGTAAGTTTTGATCAAGTCAACCCTCTCTCTCAAGGAAAGCCTCCATCTCTTCCAGCTTGCTACTTTGGCATTGGCAACTACCAACCTGCTTTCCCAGTTTCGATGACCATAGTCACCAGGACCAAATTTGATGCCCAAAATTTTAATTTCCTGCTGGGGCTCTGGGAAGGCATCCGGAAGTTCGAAGCTTTCACCCTCCTCACCCATCCAGAAAACTTCACTCTTTTCATGGTTGACTTTAGAGCCAGAAGCCTCCGTGTACTGCTCTATCACAGAGACCACCTCCTGCGCCTCCTCAGTCCCAGAGATAATAACAGACACATCATCAGCATAGGCAACGACCTTCAAAGGCGGCACACCAGCAATGCCCAGAGGCACCCCGCACACAACGATGCGCCCTCTAGCCTTCTTACAAAGGGGTCGATTGCGAAAGCATATAGCAGGGGGCTCAAAGGACATCCCTGGCGCACACCAGAGCCGACCTCAAAAGGCCGCCCAACCCAACCATTAACAAGTGGGAAGCTCTCAGCCCCTTTATATAATGTCTTCAGCCAATCTATAAACCTCCCCTGCAGGCCGTATCTACCAAGCAGCAACCACAGATATTCATGATTCACTCGATCAAAAGCTTTTGCCTGATCCAATGCCAGCAAGTACTTTCTCCATCCAGCAGCCCTGCATCGTTCCAAAGCCTCCCGGATAGCCAAAACTGCTGAAAAGGTACTTCTACCTTGGACCGAACAGTGCTGATGGCTGGACAACAAATCGCCTGCTACTGACGACAAGCGCCAAAAAAGAATCTTTGCCAAGATCTTTCTATCAACATTGAGAAGACTGATGGGGCGCCAGTTCTCAATCATTGAGGGGTCTTTACCTTTTGACAGAAGAATCACAGCGGATTGCCTCATGGAGGGAGGGAGCGAACCCTCTTCTAGACAGCTGTTAAAAACCTCCGCTAAAAAGGGAGCCAGAATGGACTTAAAACACTTGTAAAATTCAGCTGTCAATCCATCTGGCCCAGGCGATTTTTTGGTAGCCAGCTTGTCTATAGCATGAACTACCTCATCCGCTGAAATTGGTTCTGTCAAATTCATCAAAAGCAATGCACCATTTCCCAATCCTGGAGTAGAATCCAGAAAGCTTTCCATCCTGTCCCGGCTAAGGTCCTTTCTTCCCAGGAGGTCTGCATAATACGACCCAAAGATCTCCAAGATCCCTGATCTGGACTTTATCAGGGAACCCGTACTGTCTTTCAGGCCAATGACCGTCTTAACTGCTATGCCTTGCTTACAGTTCTGGTAAGGATCAGGTGAGTGATATTTCCCATAATCCCTCTCCAGAACCAAGGAGGCATGCCGGTCGTATTGACACTTCCTAAGAAGAAGCTTCACTTCAGAGATCTCCCCTGGATCTCCTCCATACGAGACAAGACGATCAAGCTTCCTCCGCAAATGCTGGTAGGCAATATACATACCAAGCTGCTTCTTCTTACTTATGGCCTTGAAAAGTCCAATCGCCCTTTGTTTCACAAGCTCCCACCACTCTGACTTACTGCTGCAAAAGTCCAGAATAGAAACCTGTGCCTGAAAAAAATCCTCAAAGGATTGTCTTACCTCTACATCTTCCAGGAGAGCCGAATTCAGTTTCCAGACACCCCTTCCCCTGGGTGGAGTGTCCGAGGCATTCAGAGTCACAGACAGCATACAGTGGTCAGAGAACTCCACCGCCTTCAACTCAGGAGCTGAGAAAGCAGAGTTCTCCTTTAAAAAAAAACCTGTCTATCCTGCTCTGACTATTCCCTCTCTGAAATGTGAACCCCGTGCTGCCAGGGCAGTGCTTAATGTGCACATCTACCAGGCCTGCCTGTCTAACCAAATCTCTGAGAAAAACGCTATCATAACCCAGCCTGTCTATGGAGCCTCTCCTGTCTTCAGGCCTAATTATGGTGTTAAAGTCACCTCCAAAGACAACCTGCTGGGACGTAAAAAGGAAGGGCTTGATCTTTGTGAGGAGGCATTTCCTGCCCCATTTTGACTGGGGTCCATAGATATTGATCAGGCGCAGGTCCTGCCCCCTAACAGAGACGTCTAAGACCATGCATCTCCCCATTTCTACCTCAATTACCCGCCGGCACGTTACCATATCGGTTTTAAAAAGGACCGCAACTCCGCTGCAAGGTTCAGCCGCAAGAGACCAAAAGGAGGGACCACATCTCCACTCCCTTTTTGCTAGATAGACATCGGCCAATGTATTGAGCCAGGTCTCTTGCAAAAATAAAATCTCAGCATCAAACTCGCTGAGCAAAAATAAGGCCGTATCACGAGCTCTTGCAGATTTAAT